ACAAGGAAAAAATCCACTGAAGAGCGAAATAACAGCACAGAAATATTCCCGCCAATTTTGTCATAACTTCGACGCGTCCGCACATCCGGGAAATCGATTTGCGAAGATGAAAAGCAATTTAGGCCCATCTTAAAAGTGATATTAGAAAACAGGGTTTTACTTTGATACTTCGACAACAAGAAAGAGATGATACTTTATTCTTCGTGTGCATGTGATGTCATAGTCACGCTAAAATCTCGCAAAATCCGGCGAAAATATTTTTGCTAAAGAGCTGTTCTTACAGTATATCTTAAATATATTTCTAGATAGTGTGTATGGAAATTTTTAGACGAATTCAACGCTTTGGTGGCGAATCACAAAAGTTTTAGTTTGTGCGGAGTTTAATTTATTCTACTTTTAGACCGTAAACAAAAACTTTGAAATTGGATAAATCATTCTTTCAACTCCGTAAGAACTTACAGGTGATTTCTTTGAAATAAAGCCATAATTGAACAAAATTTACAAAAATCAAGGAAACCAGAGTTTTTGAAGTCAATTTGAAACCAGCCGCCATCTTGGATGATCAAAGTTATCATCCAAGATGGCGTCCCCATACAAATTAACCAAATATTTCAAATCTTTATTTGCTGACTCGCTACTTGGTTTTTGAAAATAACGACTAATAAATTTTCACTTTGGGGGTTGCACACCAAGAATTGGTAATACTTCAATAATATGGACCAATATGGGAAAAAGCAGGGATCTATGCGAAGTTCTTTTKTCGACTAAAAGTGTGGACATTTCGAAACCAAGACCATGCTAGCAGTTAGATGGAGAGAGATTAAAAACAAAGAATCTACAATCTTGAATGACTTAATAAATTAATGAAACCTATGCTTGAAACAAGTATGGCTCTGTTGAAGATGACCTTTGAACGATAATTTATCGGAAGTTCGATAATGAAGGTAAAAAAATTTTTTGGATACATTATATTTTTAGCCACCATACTGTTTTTGAACTCTTCTAATTCTTGTTCGGTGAACGTGACAATGTCATTGTTACCACTGTTGTTTTCTTCGGCCATGGCGGTGTTTTCCGACGTTTGTTGTTGTTTTTTATCGAGACGACGTCGCCTTGTAGAGGCAAGTGAAAGATGTTTTTTGCGGCTCTTTTCGATGTTGAATAAATTGACTTCGAAGTTTGGTATTTCGTATTCCCCGGCCTCTGGTTGTTTTGGGAATTTGAAACTGGACATGTGAAATAACAGTAGCTTAAAAAGCGAAGCGAGTAAAAAACAACAAAGCGCGGGCTTCCTGACTTTTCATTGAATTCAGCTTTTCAATCCGCTAACAAATATTGGTCATTTTTATAGAACAGCGATATTGTAACAAAGCCTGTATATCATTTTTGGTTTCTCTTTGAAAAGACCTTCTATTCTTGTTACTTTGAATTGTTATTTGTGAAAGAAATGAAAAGAAAATACGACAAAAAATCAAAATTCAATCGCGCGGGATCCCTGAT